AGAAGCATCAAGTAATGCTCCTCTGTGTGAAACAAGGCTTTCCTAGAGGTCAGTCCCAGAATGTGAAAGGCACTCCCAAGAGCTTAAATGCAACACTCTCAGCCTTCGGTTCCACCTGCGAGATGCATTTCTTTGCCTTCTCAAGCAGAAAAGCACAGCAGCAAAGCAAATGTATACAAAATGACCAAAACAATGCATTCCACACAGTTCCCCCTCTGGGAGGAAGAGGAGAAGATAAAGAGGTGAGTCATGTTGTTTACTGCTGTACAGGAAAATGGTTAATGGTTGAAATCGTCACTGATGAGCGAGATCGGAAAACCTGAACAGACTAGAAATGAACTTGCTTCTTTTCTCATTATGTTCTGCAAATACCTCTTTGTGATAGATTATAAGCAAAGCATGTATTGCCAAGTATTTTAGTTGAATGATTTGTCATCATATTTTTTAAAGATGCTATCCAAGTTTGCTTCAGGTGTTTTAAAAAAAAAAAGATAAATACAAATACTTTTTTTTTAAAACATGCCCAGTCAATCCCTGTGTCCAAGATTTATGAACAGCAACAGAGCTAATAAATATCTGCGTTGCACTGTGGTAAAATTCTGCATGGTGTTTGCTCCAAATTCAACAATGTTTTTGTAGGACTAGGATGTATTCCATTATTTTCTGGGTATTTTAAATCTCTGCACCTACTTAGTTTCATTTCTGGCTAAACATAGGCAAAATGTTTATTTAGAATTATGTATTGTGTTCAATTCTACTTGCTTGGTCTCTCCTTGACTATTTTACAGAAAGAATACAAAACAGAGCAGTTACACAAACACACACACACACACACACCTGCACCCTCTCTTTACGGGCCGCTTCAATTCAAAAAAGGAAAAAAAAAAAGTTTATCTCATGTTAGTCAAGGACTGTAACAACAGTTTCAGGTCTGTGGTTGAAAAGCAATGTAGCGATGTGGTGAGTAGGTAAGTAGAAGCTGCAATATTCTCGACAGTTTTCATCTCTCACTGTTCCTTTTATCCTGCAGCACGCAGGGTGTGGAGGTAAGGAACTACCTTAGTGCTGCAGCTGTATGGGATGTTTGTCTGCAGTGCTGGAGCCACAGGAGCCCTGCTTGGTGTTGATAGTGTCATAGCTGCAGTTCTAGGATGAGCTGGTGTTTTGTTTGTGAATGTGGGGCTTTTCCTGGCGTTTTGGCAAAGATGTCTGAATATTGCCTCTGTTGATACTATCTGAAGGTGCAAAATAGGAACTTTATCTCCAACGGTTAGCAGAGTTCAGTAAATCATTCTAGCGAGGAGAAGCAATGTTGTTTAACTCTAGAAGGTACAATATATGGATCATGTTCAATGTCATCTTCGTTTGGGTACACTACCCAGCACTGCTGTCATCACTACCAAGGTTACATGGCCTCTGTTGGGCAGCTGCAAAGTTTTTTTAGAAGCAACCAGCAGGGCCAGTTACAGTTTTGGCCTTCATTCTTGCAGCTCCTGGATACCTGGGTCTTGGGTCAGGTTTCTGTTCCATGATGCTGGGCTCATCGCTGATGCAAGTAATTCTTGGTATTCCTAAGGAACAGCAGGAAGCTCACATGTACTGCCTTTGCTACATGTCTATTGAAAGTGTATGATCTGTGACACACATACACATGCACATATATACATAAAAAAGTATATATAGATATACACAAGAAGTATATGTATATATACTCTCACACACCAGTAGCAGGCTCTGTAGCCAAAGCTTTTTGAAAAGTTGTCAGAACAGTTTGAACTATTAATTCAGCGCTTAAAAAAAAGCTAAATATATGAAGCAAAATCTTTTGACACCTCGTCAGATGATAGCCGAGGAAAATGCAGGGAGGTTAAGGGCCTTTACTAACCGTTTGCTGTGGGATCACAAAGGGAACAGAGTACGCAGTACATAGCCTTCTACAAGGAGAAATCCCAAAACAAATGGGCAATCTAGCAAGAGCCCTTCAGTGAGGTAACCTCACCAAAAAGCCGTTTTAGGCTGGAGAATTCAAGGGCATCAGTTTTCACTCTGGAATAGCAGAGCCCTGCCTCAGTGGGACAGCACCTAGGATGGCTCTGTCCTGCTCAGAAAACAGTTTTGGAGCGATTCATCTTTTGCCCCTTGAATTTCTGCCTTGTCTGTCTCCCTCAATCTGCTTACCCAGCGTGAATTCTTGATTAGACAGGCAGCTACCACTAATGCGGCAGAAGGGTAAGAAAAAGATGCTAAAGAGGTGGAAGCGTGTCTGTCTGCAGTGAGAATCCCTGGCAAAAGTGCCTCTAGTGAGCAAGAGCAGGGCCTGTTCTGTCCAGGAAAAATGCTTGGTGTGGACAGCCAGGGTGCATGTAGTATGTGCAGTGAATTGAACATTTACTGTTGTGTGCAGAGTTGTTGTTGAAATGCCTTATTTAAACTAAAGACAAATATTTTCTAGGGGTTGGTGCTGCAAAGAATAGGATTATGAAGTTATTTCTACTTGTTTTCCAACTGAGAGGACAGAGGTGGTTTGGGGGCTTTTTGTTTGTTTGTAGTATGGTTGGTCCCCTCTTGCTGAGTAAGTACATACCTTTGTGCTGCTAGAAACACGTACAGGTATTTTCACAAAAATACTTTTTTTTATTATTTAGATTCCTCCCTGCAGCTTTTACTTAGCTAAAAGTGTCTGTGCAGAGTGGATATTGCAATAAATCAGTTGCTAGCATGCAAATACAGTTATTTCTTCTGCTTAAATCAAAAAGATGCTTTTGCAGAGTGTTTGGACTGTTCTTTTTATCAAAAGGCACTAACTTTGCATTCCATACCAAGAATTCCAAAGCCCCTCTTATCCCAGAACAGGTTTAAATGCAAGATAATCTGCAAAGGATGGTTAGCATAAATTATACTCTTCAAAGTTAAATGCTATATAAAAGGAAAAGTTAATCCGTGAAGCTAATTTTTATACTGGGTATTAAGTCAATAAGTGTTCTTCTGAACAGATTTTATTCATGTTTTTTATAGGTTATAAACTAGTATGTATGTTTTAATAAAAATGTGGTGTCTGTAATAAACTGTATTTGTAATCAAGTAGCATCCACTTTGTTTCTAAGTCCATTTTAATCCAGGATTTAACTGATCAGAGACCTTGTATGTTTGGTTTCAGCCATCTTGTTATTTATTTAACTGAGAGCCTGACTCAGAAGAATTTTTATTTTTACCGCAATTGCACAAGGACGGGAAATGTTGAAGTCTTGAAACTGTGGCAACTTAAGTAAATTCAGGTATTTCATAATCCCTTAGCCTAGAAATGTACACGTCTATCACTGTGAAGAGAGGACTGTCAGCCTTCCAAACACATAATTGCTTTCAGCCCTAGGAAGCTGCAAGACAGTAGGAACTTTTAAAACCTTATGTGGTTAAAGCCCTTTTGCAACACTAGCTCCTCACAAAGAAATTCTCTGGGCTTTTTTTTTTTATGTACAAATTCTACAATTCTCTCCCAGATTTACATAATGAACTGGCAACAAGTAATAAGGATTATCATCCTTAGACGTAAAATGATTGAAGTGGCAATTCCAGTAGCACGCAAGAATTTTTAAGCATAAAGGTCTTTCTTTATAAAATTGAGTATTCATTACTTGTCATTGCATCTCTTTTGTCTCAGATTTGTGGGAATTTTGTTTTCTTCTGTTGTATGACACAAAATCCATTTCCTACTATAACCTGCAAATGTAACCTAACACTTTCCTTGCAGTGCAAGCATCGTGGACGTTGGCGATGCTCTTGGTCCTTACCTGCTCTGTTTCTGTGGCACTTCTGTGGCAGCTCTTAGTCTTTAAATGGGATAGCAGGTTGCTAGGAGAGGCTGCGGTGTCTGGCAATGAGTAGGGGGGTGTGGACTTTCAAACTCAATGATGTGTCTTGTGCTGTTGCCTGAAATTGCAGAGGATTAAGCCTGATGATCCACTCAGCTATTTCTGGGTCTGTGCCAGGGTTGTTTTGCCAGTTACAGTTCTAACGTACAAATGGCGGTGTGGCACTGAACAGCGTATGATGCACTGAACAGTTTTCATCATACTGCATAGTCCCTACAGAATGCTTTAAAGCAACATTTTTTGAGGATTGTTGATGCACTTACTTACAGCTACTGTGTGTAAGAGTATTTTTTTGCTTCAAATTGCTTTGCAGGCATTTTACTGTGGCCCTGTCCACCCTGAAACAGACAGCCCTGACATAACAAGGGCTATGGTTGAACAGGTCCAGATGAGTAAGAGCCAGCCCTTCCCACCAACTAAGCTGCAGCAGACTCTGGCTAGGAAACAGCTGTGCTGTAAATGGACTGTCTAATATGTTTGAAGTGTAATTAATTTATTAGACACCTCTGAGAGAGGAGATATTATCTTCATCTTACAGATAGTGGAATTAAGACAGAGATCTGGTTGTTTCACAACTGTAGCTAAAATTCAGTTTACACATTATTTTGTGTTAAGTTCAGATCAATTACTTTTTTGAATTAGAAGTCATCCAGAACAGCATTGCACCTAAAAACTTGAAAAATCATTTGATTTATTTGTTATATTTACACATTTGTCTTTAAGCTAAAATTTGAACTTTTTGGAATGTTTCTGTGTAATCAACTGTAGCTTTAGCCCTTCACACCTTTTTGCTATTTAACAAGTATTTTAATAAAAGTAATTTTTTCCCTTAGCCCAGTAAGTATATCAGCGTTAAAGTTCAACTATACAAAGTGCCTAGAAAAGCATTCAGCTCAGTTATTGGCCACTTCATATTTCTCTCAAATCTTTCTTAATCAAGTCTTGTAATAAATAAAGACTAATACCAACATGACAATGCTGTTTTTTCAAATTGTTCATTTGCCAGTTTTAACAAGATAAAGAAATGAATACTTAATGTGGACATTATTTTACCAAAAAAAAAAAAAGCCAACAAAAACCAACACCCCAAAACAAACAGACAAAAAGGAGGACACAAAGGAACACAACATGGAATGATGAAAAGGAACAGTGATATTGCACAACTTCAGGTCTCCCTTCCCAGATTTTGATCCATGTAATTAGGTATGTATGAATTCAGCAAAAAATTGTGTCCAGATAAACGTGTAGCAATTTGGGTGAATCTAGAACTGTAGACTGCTTTCAATTCCTTCTGACTGCTACTTAAGAGTTCTTCTCGAAGACAGCAGGTTGCTGTCAGCTGCAGGAATAATAAATAAATAAATCAACATGTAGATTCTACATTTTGCTGACCAATCCTTCAAAAATTATCCATAACATGCACAATTCTTCTATATTGTAAATACACTAAGTCTTCAAAGTACTTGAGTCTTTAAACACAACTTGTTGTATCAAGTACTGAAACTATATATGAAAAACAATCAAGAACATTCCCCGATTTGTTGTGGTTAACTTGAGATTGCATCTCATTTTGCAAGACCGGGACTTCTCAATGTATCAGCATTGTGTTGAATGTATAAAAGTCACAGTAGGGTACATTAAAGAAAGTAAAAAGGAAAAAGAAAAAAAAACATGCTAGGTGGATAAAAGGTCTTTACAGCTACAATCTTTGCTAGACCATCTCTTAACAAGCACATACTGTTTGCTGCAGAAATTAGCTAATTGTGTTGTTCTGGCTATAGCAGTACTGTTTTCCCCCTCAACTGCTAGTATGACAGCCTGTGTTTATATAAACTTTGCATTTACATGCAGAACAAAATAGATTTTTCTTGTATCTGATTTTATATCTGTTTGATCGACTGATGTGTCAGCCAGCAGGGCTTAACAGATACATTTAATACAGGAGACTGAGATACAGTATGTTTATTCTTAACTTCTGGTAACCTAAGAACTACAAGAACGAGAGATGCAGTATCCATTTGCTATGATCCAAGACAACCATTTTTAGGGAGAAAAAAGTAGAATAAGTGATCAACGCTAACACTACATTAGTTCCAAAGATTTTTTTTTTTTCAGTCAGGGTAGCTTAACTATTTTTTGTCCATCTGGCCCACTTTTAACCTGATCAAGTTAAAGGTGACATATTAAAGTTTAAGGACTGTTGTTTCATCAAAACCGAAGCAAGTTATAAAAAACATGAAACCGTAATTTCACTGTAGGACTTGTTTCATAGCTTCGTATTCCACATCACTTGTAGAAAAGGGATAATGCATCTCGGTTTGCTTACAAGCTAGGAGATCACTTTGAAGTCTGCATATTCCTAACTGCAAACAAAAAAGCACTTTTAACAGGTTATAAATAAACTGGTTTTCAAGCATAGAGCCAGCCCAACAATAACAATACACTATTAAAAAGACCTAAGGCAATGAATTCCATCTCCAATGGAAAAGAAAAAAAAAAAAGAAAAAGAACTGTGCAAACAAGCTTAAAACTATTTTTTTGTGCCAGTGTTATAAAATGTAGATTTCAATAAAGCCTTGACCCAAATGCCAGGACTTGTGAAAAGAATCAGAACAAAACTGGTTACTTTATTTAGGAAAAAAATACTCTTATCTTGCTGCTAATAAAACTGGATACACGCAGTTTAAACATTTACGGTTGCTGTAACACTTTACACAATTCCTATATATGGGTGTAAGAACAAACATTAAAAGACAACAGTGGGTCAAGGCTTTACATTAAAAATAACAACCTACTTTTCTATAGTCTCTAAAATACTATGTTTTTTCCAATATTTGCAGCCATTCAGGAATATTTTATTTATTTATTTATTTATTAGGAAATGTATACTTTGTGCATGATCTTAATTCCTAATTCCTGGCTCTTTGGGCTGAATGACAAAAGGATCAAACCCATTAAAGTGGATGGTCTCCTTGAAGGTTCAGTGGAGAAACCCTGGCTCAGTTAGTCTCATATGATGAAAGCAGTGCTGCATCCACTGGCTCCATGCAGGATGGACAGGTAAAGGATCTCATCAACCAGTCATCTATACAGTCCAGGTGGTAAATGTGCATGCACGGCAGAAATCGGATAGGGTCCCCATAGACAAAGTCCATCATACAAATGACACATCTGGGGAAAAATAAAAATCATAAAAACATTTAAGCTGCTGTTACCATACTGGAAATGAAAAGTAGTGTAGTATCTACTCCTGGGTATGTTTGAGTCCAACAAACTTTCAGTACTTGCAGATACTGTGAGGAGTTCTTAGCTCTGTCAGTGCTGGCTCCACCAAGCACTAGGATTTTTTGGCGTTTCCTTTGTAGTATGTGCCCGTGGTTACAACGTCAGGGAGGTCAGGAAGCCTTCTGTAGGCATGGCGGGGGCAGCTCAGCAGAGTGCATGAAATTAGAAATGGTAAAAGGGAGCCATAAAGCTGAGGAAGTAACAGGAAATTATTTCCCTGTGAAGAGAGGATAAAGAGGGAAAAAACCTCTAAGGGCATGAATTACATGGGTCAGCAAAGTAAGTTTCACCTGTAAGAGGAAAACAAGTGAGGATAAAGGAAAGAGCCTCCTGCCCAGTCATTTTTTTTCAGAAAGCTACATTAAATTACAGTCTTAAATTACAGTCCCTGAAAATAAGCCAAAAACAGGAGGACAAGATCAGGTTTCCCAGGGCAATATCATAAACCAATGCAACAGCCAACTTACTCTCTGATCTTCTTCTCGGAGCCGTCTCTTCCAGGATCATAGACTCCTTTAGGTAGATGCTGAATAAGGCCTATCCTCTGCGCTATTCTGATTTGTTCCTCTTCTGTCAGCTGTGTTGCTAGCCGAGTCTGGCTAGGAGTCGGGTGATAAACAGGAACAGGGACCTGCTCCTAAAATTAAAATATTTCAGTTAAAAAAAACCACAGAGGCTTTCCTAGCGTTTCATAGCACAGTACAGGCAATGTATTTAACTCTTCCTCTCTTAGTCCTACAAGCGTTTGTACGATCTCCCACCCCTACTTTGCAATTTTAGGGCTCTGATTATATTGAGAATGGGATAAAGAATTGAGGCCAGTATCTTGAGCACAGAGCTGCTTGTGGTTGTTCTCTGCGAAAGCTTTATCTCCAGCAGTCACTCATACATGAAATACACGTACAACAAACTCCACATGACAGCAGGCAAATAAACCTTACAGGCACCTGGTGAACTGCTAAGATACTGAATTGAACAATGTGCTGGCTGAGAAAGAGCCCACAGTATTTGTAACAAAAAGTAGATTTTTTTTACATTTAGGAAGAATTATTTGCAAAGATGAGGACAGTGCCTAGAGAGGAAGGTTTTATTGGTTCTATAACAACTAAACTTTATGTGAACTGTTGCGGGCCATGCAAGCTCCAATCCAGAACTGTAGATTTAATTCTTGTGTGTTTAAAAAATGTCACCTGGACAATAAAAAGAATAGCTTAAGTAATCCAAGCTTTACATTGGTTCTCATACATTAATATGATTTTACAAGTTCTCCCAAGCTCGACTTCAACTGCTGTATGTTTAAAGTACATATTTCCCAAACAAAAAACAGGCAACATGTAGGTATTATGCAGTCCTTCCTCTGCCACGTTCTCAGAAGCTTCTTTTGAATATTGACGAACTTTAGATTAGATATTTTCACTAACATTTATATTAACATGGTACTTATTTTACTTGCTTTTAAAGCACTTTTTTGGACGTAAATACCAATTTTGAACAGGAGATACTATTAAGACAGTATTGGCCAGTAGCCATAAATCTACTGTTAGTAGGGAGACAATTTCTTGCAATCGGCCTATTTTAATGGTACTTCTTAAACAGGAAAAAATTCAACTTATAGATGTGTTCTGAAAATAAACCTGGTGCATCAGAGGCACAATAGCATCAATTCAGCTGTTTGAAAAATGCAAAAGCTGACGTTTCAGAGGACATCGCTGCAAAGCAAGCAGACTGCAGGAGTGTGTGCAGCTGCACCGCAGGAAGCGCTGATGCAGCACACATCACCTCCCAACAAAGTTCCATTGCCAAACTCCCCCTCTCTCACCAGCAATACGGGGAAGACGTGGGCTTTCACCATCCGTGACAGAGCAACCACCTTCTGAAATGTGCGTGTCCTTCCAGAGTATGGACCGCTGTGGGCATCTCCAGATATTTCTAGCAACAGGAACACAGCTGTGTTCCCCTCTCCTGTTCCTTCTTTGCCTTTTGGCCTGCTCCGGCAATAGTCTAGTGCAGCGTTCAGTGTTCAACTGACAGCAGAGTTTAACGCATGTAATACTGCGCTTGCAAAACCTGATAAAGCAATTCTTCTTTCACTGCTAGGAAGCATGGCAAGCAGACAGACAGGACTCCTGGAAGGCCAGGGGAAAGCAGCCCGAGGGGCACACAGCCCCTCGCCGGCCGGTGCTGGGGGTGCCCAGCAGCAGAAGTCCTTGCTTACGAGAAATGCTAATCAAAAATACAAGTTTGCCTGGCAACTATTCTTTTAACGCAGTGCCTATCACTTGCAATTCAGCTGTGGGGTAGAATTCAGAGTCTTCTCTTCATTTAGCTACACTAGGATTTCCCCCTCTGATTTCCTAGCAGAACTCAGAGGAATTATGAGAACGTTCAAAAGGCAAAATGCCAGTAAGTTTGATTAATTTCCTGACTACTCTAAACTGTATTTCACAGAATCACAGATTTCTTCTAGATCAGCTGCCTTTTAGTGGTTTAAATTACCTAAAGTATTCTCTAATCGTTGTTTGGATAGGGAAAAGCACCAGCTGAAGCTAGGGATGACCCGTCAGATATAACAGTGTTCATGAAGTGGCTCTGCAACCTGCGGTGTCAGCAAAATAAAGCATTTTTTCCCCTCCCAAATGCTGCAGACCCTCTGCACTGAACACATCAGCTTGAGGCAGAGCCCGGTCCTGCTTTTATGTTTCAAGAACTTAACACCATAAATTATGAGTAACTTTTTTTTTCCCCAAGGCTTTGCTATACTTCTTTGGACAGATTATTAAATCAATAGCAGAAGACATTACTGCTAGCTCCGTTATTTGTCACAAAGACGTACAGAACACTTAGCATTTGGAGAGAGATGCACCCTCCTTCCCATTTTAGAAAGAAAGAAGAGCAGTATAACTAACCACATGCACGGCACATGCTGGCGCTAATAAGGGCAGGAGGGGAAGCTACTGTATTTAATATGCTCCCCTTGGCAAAACCATGACTGCAAGTGATAATGCAGAAATACAAGGAAAGGCAAAAACAGGAGGAGGAAAAAAGATCCAAGAAACTCTCAAAACGTCTGGAAGTAGCAGTGACAACTGACAGTGAATGCCTACAGCAGAACAACAGCAAACTGATCATCTCAGCAGAAATTACACAGCAAAAGGAAACTACAGTTAAATAGAATCTGTTGCAAGTTAAAACTATCCCATTTGGACAACTCTGAAATGAGAAATGGGTCATGCTATCCAACCGATGACTGCTTCGCTTAAGTTTTGGACAGTAAATTAACACAACTTTTAAGCCTGTAATAGGCCAAACAACAAAACCTCATTCCCTTGTTCTAGTCTTTTACAGGCGCTTGCTGCGAGCAACCACTGAGGGACTATGCACCTGGGGAACCCATTTCTGTATTATTGCAGTGCCCCTCTCCTGTGGGTGTCGTCTTCCCCGCAGAGACCTGACGAAGAGGGGCCTGATGGACCCCCCGAGCCCCCTTCCCATGCCAAATACACAAATGCTTTCCCGACCGCCAGTGCTATATGGAAACAATCCTTTTGGCGTCCTGTTCCAGGTTCCCTCCCTGCAGTGCCACCACCCTGCACTACACGTCTGACATAACCAATTAAGGCAGAAATTTATAGTTGCCAGCTGTGGGCTTCTACAATTTCACGTACTAGACAAGAATCTCCTGTCAGATGAGTAACTCTGGGTAAAAACGGTGCTGTCTTTCACCATGACATCTTCATGCTTGTGAATATAAAAAATTAGGGTTGGTCTGGCTGCCAAGCTGTTGTGAAAAATGCATAAATTGTACTACTGTAAATAAAGGAGTGACCGCTCAATACCCATGATCGGGTGCACTTCCTTAACACGCTGTTTGGTGGCACTTTAATCTCACCTCCAGATTACTATTCAAAGCCTGCCCAAACAGAGCTAGCAGTCCACTGGATACAAACATACCAGTAAAATGGAAGAACACAGCCGCACACGTTGCAGAGAGTCAAATTATAGGGTACACCGACAATGACCTTTTCAAAACAGTCCTCTCCCCTCCAACAGATAAAAAGAAGAGGTGTGTTTATACCTGTATGATTCTAAAAATATTTTAAACTCTTCATTCATGAGAATATGAGAGCCCAGATTCCTCTGACTCAGTTTGTTGAAGTGACATTCGGTATCGCCAGAGGGGTCAGAGTAAGAGATGGAGTAGACTGCATGAAGTGCTCCCTCAACTAGACCGTGACCACCACCCATCAGTCGAGCTGGGCTCCTTCAGCCCCTGGTAGCCCCGCTGGCACGCACCCAGGCTGGCCCCACAGGCAGCCACCGCTGCCACACCACCACACTAGCAGCTGCATCCTCTGGTTTCTCCACTACCAAATCTCTGAAGCATTTTTGGAAGTTAAGCTCATCCGACAATAATTTCAAGCCGTCTGTAAGGACGGAGGGCAGCCCTGCCTGTGTGGGTTTATCACTCCTTTGCAAATCTTTCACAGTTTATAACAGCTACTTTTATCAACCCATGTTAAAGCAAGGTCCCGCTCGCTCCAGCGTGGATATTCAAGGGTAACGACGTGAGGATTCGAGACTTCAGTCAACTTACATTTGTAGCTAGAGGCCCCCTGACATGTATATATAGAAAAAAAGACTGTATTACCCAAGTAATTACTATTTTACTCCAAAGACAAGCATGAATTTATTGCTCTGGTGTCTCACTTTTCCCTTTATCTACCATGGAAAATGTTTTTGCAGACAAAATTACGAAATACTGAACTTCTAGCCAAAGTCTGTGTTATTTATCATTCGATAAAGATGTCAGGCGTTTCAAACTAAGATGAAATTTTATGTTAACTCTATTCCTCCATGTAAAAAAAAAAAAACCTAAAAAAGGCCAAAACAAATAATCAAAACCACATATTAGCGTCAGGCAATGAAATAAAAATCACTTTCTGGCACTTAATTTGCTTTAATCAATTATTTTTTTCCCATATGAATTTACTAGTGGTGAAACATCTCAGATGGCCACAGTCCTGGAGATACACAGCTTTTTTCTTCTTCACAAAGTAGGTGGTGTCAGCACAAGTTTCCCTGGCTTTCTGTGCACAGAAATAATTAATTCCTAATGTTTATTCAGCCCTTAAATAACAGCATTAATTTAGACTCGAGGACTACAGCAGGGTCTGTATCTCCATCTCACCCTGGCTCCTCCTCCTTTGGAGGGGAAAGAAAAAAAAAAAATCATAGAGGGCATCTGGAGGTCTGTTTATTTTCATTAGAAGTGAAAAATGCATTTTCACACATGGCTTAAAAGGCCCAGACACTTTGTTTCTGCATGCAGATTCCCAAGCACGCTTTGGGTTCTCACCTAGAAAAAGGAGGTTTCATCAAGCATGATTTTTGTTTGAAGTTTTCTCATCAATGCAACTTACCTTGCTTACTTATGCTGCTGTAAATCTGCTTTTCTCTTGTTTTACAGCATTTTCATCTTGTTTTTGCAAGTGCAATGAATTTGTAATACTCTGAAAACAGGTCAGTGGTAGATCAGAAACTCTTAATCCCTGGATAAAGATTATTTTACCATCCCTCTACGCCACATATCAGCAGTATGTTATCAGGGCTTTTGTTTGTTTGTTGTTTTTAATAATT